GCGAATATATTATTGTGTTGATGGGGTTAATGTAGGACTGTATTGGTAGGACCTATATATGATCGTTTATATAGGGAGGCGAATATATGATCGTTTATATAGGGATGCGAATATATTATTGTGTTGATGGGGTTAATGTAGGACTGTATTGGTAGGGCCTATATCTGATCGTTTATATAGGGAGGCGAATATATTATTGTGTTGATGGGGCTAATGTAGGACTGTATTGGTAGGACCTATATATGATCGTTTATATAGGGAGGCGAATATATGATCGTTTATATAGGTAGGCGAATATATTATTGTGTTGATGAGGTTAATGTAGGACTGTATTGGTAGGGCCTATATATGATCGTTTATATAGGGAGGCGAATATATGATCGTTTATATAGGGATGCGAATATATTATTGTGTTGATGGGGTTAATGTAGGACTGTATTGATAGGGCCTATATATGATCGTTTATATAGGGAGGCGAATATATGATCGTTTATATAGGGATGCGAATATATTATTGTGTTGATGGGGTTAATGTAGGACTGTATTGGTAGGGCCTATATATGATCGTTTGTACAAGGAGGCGAATATATTATTGTTTGATGGGGTTAATGTAGGACTGTACTGGTAGGGCCTATATATGATCGTTTATATAGGGAGGCGAATATATTATTGTGTTGATGGGGTTAATATGGGGCTGTATTGGTAGGGCCTATATATGATCGTTTATATAGGGATGCGAATATATTATTGTGTTGATGGGGTTAATGTAGGACTGTATTGGAAGGGCCTATATATGATCGTTTATATAGGGAGGCGAATATCCGATCGTTTATATAGGGAGGCGAATATATTATTGTGTTGATTGGGTTACTGTAGGACTGTATTGGTAGGGCCTATATATGATCGTTTTATAGGGATGCGAATATATTATTGTGTTGATTGGGTTACTGTAGGACTGTATTGGTAGGGCCTATATATGATCGTTTATATAGGGATGCGAATATATTATTGTGTTGATGGGGTTAATGTAGGACTGTATTGGTAGGGCCTATATATGATCGTTTATATAGGGATGCAAATTTATTATTGTGTTGATGGGGTTAATCTAGGACTGTCAGGGTGGGGCCTATATATGATCGTTTATATAGGGAGGCCAATATATTATTGTGTTGATGGGGTTGTTGTAGGACTGTATTGGTAGGGCCTATAAATGATCGTTTATATAGGGAGGCGGATATATGATCGTTTATATAGGGAGGCGAATATATTATTGTGCTGATGGGGTTAATGTAGGACTGTATGGGTGGGGCCTATATATGATCGTTTATATAGGGAGGCGAATATATTATTGTGTTGATGGGGTTAATGTAGGACTGTATTGGTAGGGCCTCTATATGATCGTTTATATAGGGAGGCGAATATATTATTGTGTTGATGGGGTTAATGTAGGACTGTATGGGTGGGGTAAATATATGACTATTGGTGTGGTAAATATATGACTGTATTGGTGGGGTACATATATATGACTGTATTGGTGGGGTACATATATGACTATATTGGTGGGGTACACATATGACTATTGGTGGGGTAAATATATGACTGTATTGGTGGGGTAAATATATGACTGTATTGGTGGGGTAAATATATGACTGTATTGGTGGGGTAAATATATGACTGTATTAGTGGGATACATATATGACTGTATTTGTGGGGTAAATATATGACTATTGGTGGGGAAAATATATGACTATATTGGTGGGGTACATATATGACTGTATTGGTGGGGTAAATATATGACTATTGGTGGGGTAAATATATGACTATTGGTGGGGTAGATATATGACTGTATTGGTGGGGTAAATATATGACTGTATTGGTGGGGTAAATATATGACTGTATTGGTTGGGTAAATATATGACTGTATTGGTGGGGTACATATATGACTGTATGGGTGGGGTAAATATATGACTGTATTGGTGGGGTCAATATATGACAGTATTGGTGGGGTCAATATATGACAGTATTAGTGGGGTCAATATATGACTACTTGCGGGGTAAATGTATGACTGTATTGGTGGGGTAAATGTATGACTGTATTAGTGGGATAAATATATGACTGTATTGGTGGGGTAAATGTATGACTATTGGTGGGGTAAATATATGACTGTATTAGTGGGGTAAATATATGACTATTGGTGGGGTAAATATATGACTGTATTAGTGGGGTAAATATATGACTATATTGGTGGGGTAAATATATGACTATTGGTGGGGTAAATATATGACTGTATTGGTGGGGTAAATATATGACTGTATTGGTGGGGTAAATATATGACTGTATTCGTGGGGTAAATATATGACTGTTGGTGGGGTAAATATATGACTGTATTGGTGGGGTACATATATGACTGTATTGGTGGGGTAAATATATGACAGTATTAGTGGGGTCAATATATGACTACTTGCGGGGTAAATGTATGACTGTATTGGTGGGGTAAATGTATGACTGTATTAGTGGGGTCAATATATGACTACTTGCGGGGTAAATGTATGTCTATTGGTGGGGTAAATGTATGACTGTATTAGTGGAATAAATATATGACTGTATTGGTGGGGTAAATATATGACTATTGGTGGGGTAAATATATGACTGTATTAGTGGGGTAAAAATATGACTGTATGGTGGGGTAAATATATGACTATTGGTGGGGTAAATATATGACTATTGGTGTGGTAAATATATGACTTTTGGGGGTAAATATATGACTATTGGTGGGGTAAATATATGATTGTATTGGTGGTGTAAATATATGATTGTATTGGTGGGGTAAATATATGAACATTTGTGTTGGCAGTGCTGGTATACGATCGTTTGAACTGGGAACGTGAAGATATAACCATTTGTATTGGTAGGTCGAATATATGATTGAATTGATTCGGTGGAATATATGGTGGCTTGTATTGGTTGGGGGAGTATATGATCGTTTGCATTGGTATGATGCATATATGAACGTTTGAAGTGGTGGGGCATAACAATGATCGTTTGTATTTGATAATGCGTGGTTTGAACATCTGATGAAAGTTACTATCTGGTCTGTGGTATCATGTTACAGTACAACTGCAGCGTGTTTGTAGATGGTAAATTGACTCAGTTCGTTGTTTTGTTCGCAATTTTCAAAATGGCGCTGGTACCTTCTCCCGGGTATATTCAATAAGTACTGCGACATTTGATCAGACCTTCGCCGTTAATTATTCATTTGCTGCTGCTAAAGGTTGAAATTAATGCCACTCTTCTGACATTTTCTCTGAAGATTTAGACACAGAGATCTACATCCAGTATACATGCATCATATTTTGACCCGGCGTGCCAAGCCGCCAGCAGCACAGTAGGCGTGGTCTTGTATCGGTTTTGGACCGTCGTTGTTGGTTGGGTTGGATCGATGTGAAGATACTTCAAACTTTGGTGTAGATCTGTTTGTCTGGCCGTTAACGGTCGTTATCAGTTCACAGAAATAACCTTAATTGTTAGAGCTGATATCTTAGTAGGAATGATTGAATAGAAAAATATGAAGTCATTTGGATAAGACAGACATTAAAAATTAGACCAACATCACCACAGCACAAACGTCATGAGGTATTTTTGTGATTTTAGTAGCAGTAGTTGCAGCAGCAGTAGTAGTAGTAGTAGTAGCAGTAGTAGTAGTAGTAGAAGTAGTGGAGATGATATAACGACTGCACTGGACGTACGGTGTTAGTTGCGGAGATGGGGAAATAGAAGCCACCCTGGACGTTGAGGGTATTGGTTAATTTCAGAACCTTCAAATTGATGACCAATGTCACCTGTATAACGATGGAAAAAGCACCAGAAACCGGGCCACTATCAGAAGAGTATGGCCTGTGGTTTAGAGGCATGTTAGTGTGCATTCCCAAACCCTTCACTAATCCGAGGCACTGATGTAACACACGTGTAACCATAGCAACAACAGTTGCAATTTAACCACGGAAGTCCGTGTGAGTGTCGACCTTGACACCACAACCAAATCCTGCCACATACAATCCAAGTTCAACCACAACACTTATGATGAAGTATTCTTGAAAATCATACGGAAGAGAACCAACGGCATATCCGCAAAACCTTTAAGTCATATGTAACGAGAATATATTCTTCAGTGTGTTGGAATGATTTCGTCATCGGTTTTTATCTTAATAAAGTTGAACATCGTTACCCTGGCAACGAAAGACATGTTTACGTTATGGAGAGATGCTGGTGCGTGTTTGGCGCAGGTTTTTACTGAAAAGTCTCAGGGTATATGGAAAGTGCCATGGCTTTCTGTTTGAAATTACCCCCGCCTCCTGGCTTTGTGGATTGTATATTTAACCCCTTTGACACTGGTCGTTCAACAACTCGCTCCCTCAATACAGTCCTCTGATACACAGTTGATAACTCCCGGCTGACCTTGGGACGTTTTATAGCATTTCATGACGTTGAAATCAGATCTACCCACTTTCCCTGTACACTTGGCATTCTTTTGTTCTCAAGTACAAAAGATATAAGAAAAGTTTTATTCAGTTGGTGTTATACATACATGGCACGAGCTGATCTAGCAAGACTCGGACAAATTCACACAACTGAAAATTAATTTGCACTGTAGCCAAAATTTTATTCTCAAATCTCACACACATTTGTGCCTGCGTCGTAAGCTATAGAAATTGTGCTGAAAGGGAAAGTTTGAGAACAAAAGCGTTTGCGTGGTTAGAACTATTAAACATTAAAGTGATTGTTATCATGCGACACTATAAATAAGTAAAGAAGCAGAAAGGCCGACGGGTCAAATTCCGCTTGAGGTGGGGTTGGGAACTGAAACCGACAAGTGAATGTCACGTGACATCGATCTAACCAATCAGTGTACATGGACGTGGATTTCGCTGATCGGCGGTTGTGCATGATTACAATCGTTTTCTGCAATAATTTGCATAAAGTTTCACTCTGCTTCCACCAGTTTCAGACTAGCTTTACGACATCGAGAAAACAGGCGACGGGAGAAGTCATCCCCCATCCGACGTGTACCAGGCCGGTTTCTGGGACGGGGCAGATGACGAGTCCGGGGGTGACTGTCCAGCCTCTATCACACTAACCGTAAGTATATGTACAATCACTTCGAATCTTTTGTGAGTTTTGCGAAATTTTAATTTTCCAAATTGGAATTAACATGTGTAAAACTTGGGGGTCAGAATTATGTAGACCAATGTTAATTATAGAAGTTATATATGAAATTATACCAAACTGTATCAACGTATAAATTCATACCATACATCTTCTTCCCCCTCCCCGTTCTGTTTGGAGTGATTGAAGTTATTTTAGGTTAATTTTCCTTCAGTTGCGATTTAATATTTGGAGGAAATCATTGTTCAATTAGTAATCAGCGTTCTGTAGTCGTTTAAGAAACGATTTTCTTATAACCATTCACTGAATTACTTATTCAGTTACGTGTCAGAGTGTTAGTGGAACCTATTCCAAGTTTCTCGCTGTCTACAGTCCATGTGTCTTTGATGAACATAGAGATTTTTCTGGGTTGCATTTTCTTTTTATTCTTGAGAACAACGTTTCAGGGCTTGTTCTGGCCCCATCATCAGGTAAAACTCAATTTACTTTGACGGTTTAGTGAAATCAGCTTGAAGTTAGTCAATACTGATATTCCCTATTTCTCAACATTCATACAAGCTGCAGCTGTTAACAAAAACCATTCTTGTTTGGAAATACAGTAATGGTAGAGAGCTATTGAAGCTTCAAGCATACATGTACTTATCTAGTAAGGTTCAAAGTTTCATTTAGTCATAGTGTTAATCTCTCTTCCAACAGTTATTGACTTGATTTGTGTCTATTCAATGTACACCTAGTTAGGGTTTAGTAAAACCAGTTATTGACTTTATTTAATTTTAAGTCTATTCAATGTATTTAGGGTTTAGTAAAACAAAAATAACCAGTGACACATTTGTTCTGACACAGAGTCGGTGTTTAGAAGACGTGGGGTAGGATGGCGACTTTTAAGATCGTGTCCGGTTGTCGCGTCATGTAATCTGTTTCCTTTAGATTTTGACAATTAGCATACCGAGAACCATCGCTTGATAACTTGGAAAACCAGTCTCGCAAAGGAGGCCAAAATATATGATGATATCTATTATTTGAAATCATGTATGAAAATATTTGCGACATAAATGCATGTTGAAAATAAATTCTTCAAAATTATGAGTTTGTAAAAATATTGTGTATAATTATTCATGGTGAAAGTGCAGAAATGGAAATTAGATGAAAATGATCTCTATCATGTACGTGCGTGTTTCCGTGAATTGTCCGGGGTGCACGAGAACATCTTATACATAAAACTTGTTTCGCTATGCGTAAAGAATATCAAAGGTTTTGCGAAAGGTTTACCTATTACCCCTATTTGAAAACACACATATGTCCCAATGTCCTGATCACAAATGGAATAGTTTATGGTTGAAATATTTGAAGTAAAACCACCCAGTCAGTATATCTATTTTATACATTTTATTTTTAATAAGACTTTGAGCATTGTCTTACAAAATGTACATAATGAATTCATGGCCGTGTGATTTATACTAAGGTACTACTGTAAATACTACTGCCACACACATTTCAAACGATTGCTAGTTGATCTTTTAAGGAATTCGTCTACAAATGACTAGTGTCAGGCACATATACAGGAGAGTACAATGTATTTTTGGTATTGTCATGTGACGCTGTGATAACCGGAGCACCAACACAGCTCCAAATAATGTCTTTGGCACTCTCGATGAAAACTCGTAATATTTCCAATACGTTTCCTTATGTTTTCGTACTCGATATAAAGGTGTGTGCCATCACGCACATGACATCTTTTGTATCTGAATCAAACTGTACGTAAATACATTAAGAATATGTGTGTATAAGTTCTTGTAACATGCAACAAATTATATCAAGGTGTTTGGACAGTGACATAACATCTTCTTATTAAGTATGAGCAATAAATTGACCCCAGAAATCACAGTAAGTTTTCCGATTATACTATGTCAATGTGCATACATGTTCATGATGTCACGAGTTACTATTCCCATAATATTAACATGCCACTGAACGCCAATGTGAAAGTTGTGAAGGCCTCTGTAAGTTGTGAAGGCCTCTGTGAAAGTTGTGAAGGCCCGTGTGAAAGTTGTGAAGAATGCAATGAGCCACCAATTGCTCCAGACCAAACGCTATTCTCAATGTCCCGTCTGTAGGACTGTAATAGTTGTTACAGGAAACTGTAAATGGCGTAGCGAGGTTGTTACGGGTAACTTGAGTGTTGTGAACGCTGGCGTGAACAGCCCCGGACAAAGGGGTACCCCCATTAGGCTGACTAATAACTGCCGAGAGTGTTAATGTCAACCAGGCACCTGATATGACGTCTTCCACGTCTAAATCTCCATAATGCGACATTATTAGAAGTAGGGAGCTTTCAGCCACTTTCCTTAAAGATTTGGGACAAAATCCATCAAAATACCGCACATCTGCATGTACATGTACATTAAAAACCCGTAATCTGCTTTGTATGTAGCCGCAAAAATGATTCGTTATTTTCTCTCAAAAGATAACTGAATGTCTTAGATGGTCTTTATTTCACATATTTCGATAGAAAACTGTTGTACATACACAGTTCTCGGCAAGTATTATTAATATTATTCTATGTTCATGGGTGTGCTCTGTACCGGATTGTATGTGGAGACAATAGGCCGTTCCTCATTCCTTTCTTACGCGCCACAAACCAGACAGGGATGCAACGTACCCTGAAGTAGCTATAAGCCGGAATAACGGCAGTAAGTACAGTCAAACACTATTGTGTCGAACTTGCCGTCTCAAAGCACAGACTATGTGCCTTCTGTAGTCATCATATGCGTTTGTGCCGAACCTGAGATAACTCGAAGTATTTAGGATTTTTCTTAAAGTTCGACATAACGGTGTTTGACTGTAAATCCCCAACAACTCTGTTGTTTTACTGGTCTGTAGGAACACAAACTTGCTGGGATTGGAGTTCTGGGGTTGACTGACCGTATGCATCGTTGTTAGATAATGAGGTTTGCGGAGAACCTAAAGACACCTCAACGTAGTGTGAACGTTAGCCTATTGCTAAATCCTTCTGGCGTCGTATATGTCCTAATAATCTTCGGTCAATCTGGCAACTGTAATCGTTTAACCGTTAACATTTCAATGATTATTGATGTCTCCAACTCACACGTTAATGATAAAGCTACACTCGCCTTCATCAAGAAACGTCTCAGTCAGTTTTGGTTGTTTAGTAGAAAAGAATTAGAATATTTAAATCAAGTCATCTGGGCAAAATATGTGTTGGTATGACCAGGACTGTTGTGCACACAACGATGCTGTATCAGCATAGCGTTCTCTGCATAAAATATGCCGATCGGTACCTCAGTCGGAACAAACCGACCACAAGTATAGTTCTGGCTCCAAGAACTAGCCTAACTCGACCCATGTGAATCCAGTTGAACTATCGCTTGTCAGATTATAGAATTTTTGCGATGTGCCTTCTCGAGTTGCCATTAAATATGCAGATCTGCCCATTTCTTCCCAGAGAACATCTCTTGGCTGCTTCTGACATTTGGCTTTTCGATATAATAGGCATTTGTGACATATGTACTTACGCATATCTCCTTTCAAACTGGCCTGATAACATTTCTTGTCGATAATGGACTATCGACTATCTCTTTTAAAATGCACCCAATGCGGTAGGTTTTAAAGAATTTATCGATATTTTTGTAAACTGTAAGTAATGGTTGTGTGATTAGGTTCAAGGGTTTGTCAAGGGTTCTGTCTTACCCCAACAGAATTAAATTAAAGAAATTAAATTAATTAAAGAATTTCAATTTCAGTCCTGTGAGGCTTGACTCTGGTAAAATGGTAGAAATTAGCTGTGTATATCAACATATACCACAATAAATTTCTGCAGGGATATTGTTTAAAGCGAAGTAAAACCCCAAGCTCTCACTTACACGTTAGTCTGCCACCTCCACGAGTGACTGAGCTTTGAGTTTGCATTGTATTTTAACATCAGTATTCACCAGGCAAAGAGACAGCCTATCACGATTTCATTCGTCACCGGTACATCGTCGGCAAGCATTGCAAGATGCGATACCCGATACACTTAATTTTACATCGATTCAAAAATAGCCTGATATCAGTTGTCCTTGTTGATCTCGCGTCGATATAAAAAAAACCACGCTCCCTATTAGATAACAGGCGATCAGAGCCGTGGATAATTAAGTCTTTGCCGAGTTTCACATCATGAAGTTCATAACACAGCCGTAGATAGTTAAGTCTTTACCGAGTTTCACATCATGACGTTCATAACACAGCCGTAGATAGTTAAGTCTTCACCGAGTTTCACATCATGAAGTTCATAACACAGCCGTAGATAGTTAAGTCTTTACCGAGTTTCACATCATGACGTTCATAACACAGCCGTAGATAGTTAAGTCTTTACCGAGTTTTACATCATGAAGTTCATAACACAGCCGTGGATACTTAAGTCTTTACCGAGTTTCACATCATGACGTTCATAACACAGCCGTGGATACTTAAGTCTTTACCGAGTTTCACATCATGACGTTCATAACACAGTCGTGGATAGTTGAATCTTTACCGAGTTTCACATCATGAAGTTCATAACACAGCCGTAGATAGTTAAGTCTTTGCCGAGTTTCACATCATGAAGTTCATAACACAGCCGTGGATAGTTAAGTCTTTACCGAGTTACACATCATGAAGTTCATAACACAGCCGTGGATAGATACCGAGTTAAGTCTTTACCGAGTTTCACATCATAAAGTTCATAACACAGCCGTAGATAGTTAAGTCTTTACCGAGTTTCACACCATGACGTTCATAACACAGCCGTGGATAGTTAAGTCCTTACCGAGTTTCACATCATAAAGTTCATAACACAGCCGTAGATAGTTAAGTCTTTACCGAGTTTCACATCATGAAGTTCATAACACAGCCGTAGATAGTTAAGTCTTTACCGAGTTTCACACCATGACGTTCATAACACAGCCGTGGATAGTTAAGTCCTTACCGAGTTTCAC